TGCCAGCCAAACCGGGATGCTGGAGGGGGAAACGGGGGCAGCAACCGCGGGGAGCACCGGCACCTCTCACCCCGAGGCTGCCGGGGGGGGACACAGGGCTGGGGACACAGGGCACAACCCCGGAGCTCCCAGGGACAGCGGGCACTGCTGCGGGACCCCGGGGAGGATGGACGGTGGGAATTCGGGGCCGCTCCCCGAGCAGGGGAGCAGCGGTCCCGCGGGTCCCGGTCCTGTGCGGGTAGGAACAGCCCAGCAGCGACAGGCAGCTTCCAGCAACTGAAGTGAAGGTCTGGGGGGTAAAAAAAGAAGGGGAGATTGTCACGAGAAAAAAAAAAAAAATTCATCTCCCTGTCTTCCTTGGCTGGACCGCGGCCGGCGGCGGCTGAGGATGGTGCGGCCGGGAGTCGGGGCTGAACCCGCACAGAGGGACAGAGGGACACAGGGACAGAGGGACAGCGGGACAGCGGGACAGAGGGACACAGGTCCGGCTGGATGCCCGAGCATCCCTCGCACCCCTCCATGGGCACCCAGGCCCGCCCGGGGTCCCGAGTTTGGGGAAATCGCAGTTCGGGCAGCGCTTGCCCGTCCCGCGAGTCCCACCGGCACCACGGGGCACCAATCAATCCGTAACCAATTAACCGGCAATTAACGCAGGAGCGGGTCCCCAGCCCGCACTGCAGAAGCGGCGGTGGGTCCCCCCCTCCAGAGCACTCGCAAACTCAGCACACGCGTTCCCATCCTGCTGGCACCCCCCGGGAATATTTCCCTGCTCCTCACTCCCCCCAGGGAAGTTTTCTGAGGAAGAGGAGGCAGGAGGGAGGAAGGAGGACAGGACACCGCTAGATTTATTAGTTTAGATTTTATTGGGGCGGGCGGGAAGAAAGGAGGGGGGTTGCCTTACAGTTGAAGGGGTTACGGCATCAGAAGTCACACGTACACTGTCCCTGTCCCCGCTGCCGGGAGGCGCCAGCCCGGGCGGGGGAACAGGAACGCGGGGCCGCAGCCCCGACCCGCCCGACACAACCAAAAACGAAAACCGAACCAAAAAACACACTCCGAAAAGCCGTGCGCCCCCCCTCCCCAGCCCCAAACCAGAGCTGCTTATCCCTGCAACCCTCCCCCCAAAAAATAAACTAAAACTTTTTTTTTTTTCCAGCTTTTTTTTGTTTCGTTTTATTTTTTTTTCCAAAAGTTTTGGGTTTTTTTGGTCTGCAGGTTGCGGATCAGGCGGGCAGCCTTTCCTCCCTCCCCCTTTGCCTCCCTCCTGGACACCTCCCGTGGCTGCTTCCATGCCCCCCTCACCCTCAGCCCCAGGACGGCACAGCCAAGCTTGTGCAGAGTCCTCGAGGATGGACGGAGGACATGAGAGCGGGAAAAAAATTGAGTTTTTTAGGGAAGAAAATCGAAATTAAAAAAGATTTTTTTTTTTTTTACGTTCTGTTCCATGTTAGACTCTAGATAAATGCCAACCCAACAGCATCAACTAAAAATAATCGTGGTCACTGGAACGGACCGAGTATTTACATCGCTCCCGCCGCTCCCCGCGGCAAGAGGCTGTACAGGACTGGCGAGCCGGGGCTTCCACACCCGCAGGGGCTGAGGGTCCCCGCACAAAGCTGGGGGGGCACTGGCAGGGCAGGAGCCAGCCTGCGCCTCCGCCCGGGGGGCAGCAGGGGACACGCTTGGCTTTTTAATTTTCTTTTTTTTTTTTTTTTAACTCCTCTTCTGTTGCGTTTAAAAAAATAATAATTATAATAAACCTGGTGGAGTGGTGCAGGAAGCAAATAAATATCAGTCAGTAGAGATGGGGGCGGCAGGACCTCCCCAGGACATCGCCACTGCTAACGAAGAGGGAGGAGGAGGAGGAGGAGGAGGAAGAGCCCAGAGTCCTGCCCAGGAGGCGGTGGGGGACCAGCGGCAGCTTCGGGGGGATGGCGGCCGGTCCCTCACAAGACCTGGAAGCGCCAGGACGCCTGGTCCTTGTAGTCAAGGCAGTCGGGGGAGTTGAAGTTGAGCTTCCAGGAGGCGGCGGCGGCAGCGGCGGGCTCCTTGTAGTCCAGGCAGTCGGAGGAGTTGAAGGGCAGCCCCGTGCCGCCGTAGCCCTGGTGGTGGTGGTGGTGGTGGTGATGGTGGTGGTGGCCCGAGCTCTGGCTCAGCGGGTGGTGGTGGTGGTGGCCCGGCACCGAGGAGGGCCCCATGGGGCTGAGCTGGTGGGGATGGTGGTGGGAGTGCATGGGCGCCAGGTAGGAGCTGCAATCCACGCCCCCGAAGTAGGAGGAGGAGGGCGGCGCGGGGTAGCCCTGGCCGTAGCCGCCGCCCTGGCTGTAGGACACGGGGTAGGAGGCGGAGGCGGCGGGGGCGGCGGGACCGGCCCGCTGCATGCAGGAGGCGGCGGGCGGCAGCGGCTCGGGCACCGACACCCCCGCGGGAGCCGCGCCGGGAGAGATGGAAGCGGGGCTCCAGATGGACGAGGCCGGGGTGCTGAGAGACGCCGGGGCGCCCACCGGGGCCGAGGAGGCCGAGCTGGAGGAGGAGGACGAGGCGGAGCTGGAGGCCGCTGCCGGCGGCGTGAACTGGCCGCTGCTCTCCGAGCCCGAGCTCTCCCGGGCGGGCGAGGATTTCTTCTTGGCCGGGCGGCTCTTGGCCCCGCCGCCGCTCTGCTGCTGCTGCCGGCACTTGGCGCGGCGGTTCTTGAACCAGACCTGCAGGGACAAAACGGGGCGCAGGGCAGCGAGAGCACGGTGGGGTGAGCGAACAGCTCCGCAAGGGCCTCTCCGGCCTGCGAGTGCCCCGCCACCGGTTCTCCCGGTACCATTGACGCTGAGAGCCCCTCACACCCCCAAATATAATCCCACCCCTGCGAGCGCCCCGCCACCCTCAGCCCGGTACCATTGATGCTGAGCACCCCTCGCACCCCCAAATACAATCCCACCCCTGCGAGCGCCCCACCACCCTCAGCCCGGCACCGGTTCTCCCGGTACCATTGACTCTGAGAGCCCCTCACACCCCCAAATATAATCCCACCCCTGCGAGCGCCCCGCCACCCTCAGCCCAGTACCATTGACGCTGAGCATCCCTCGCACCCCCAAATATAATCCCACCCCTGCCCGGCCACCCCACAGCCTGCCAAAAGCAAGGATGGCCAGGGTCTAAGTCTGTGCTGTCCCAGCTCGTGCATATCCCTGGCAAAGTGACAAAATATGGATTTTTGGGACAGATTCTGTGTTGGGGGCTGCCTGCATATCCCGCCCTCCTGGGTATCCACTGCAGTGCCCGAAGGGAATTCCTCCAGGAAGCACCCAGGTGGTAGGGCTGCTGTACCCTGGAGCAGGTGGAGGGTGACAGAAAAATATTAATAAAAATAAGAATAATACAAGAGAATAAATAATAAACGCTCCCTCTTTGGCCGAATTTCCCCACAGTGGGACAGACAAGCAGATGGGAGCCCACACACATCCGCATGCCAAGGAAAGAGGATGAATGTGGATGGAGCGGCCGGTCTGAGCAGCGCCAGCTGAGCTGGGGTGGTCCTGCATCCCCAATCCCACAGGATTCCCCCCGCAGGCCCGGTACCTGGACTCGGGATTCGGGCAGGTTGATCTTCAGGGCGACCTCCTCCCGCATGAAGATGTCAGGGTAGCGGGTCTTGGCAAAGAGCGCCTCCAGCACGTCCAGCTGCGAGCGGGTGAAGGTGGTGCGCTCCCGCCGCTGCTTCCGCGGGGTGGCTGCGGGAGGAGCATCACCACGGGGGTCACACCGGGCCCCCACGCACCCCCACACCCTCCGGTGAGCCCGGGACAAGGGCGGGAGACGCTCCCCAAAAAGCGGCAGCGTCCCCGCACCCCCTGGGTTGCCGCACCGCGTCCCGCTGCGGGCAGGGCGAGGGGCACAGCGCTGGGCTAGGGTCAGGCCCGGCTCCAGAGGGAGCCACGGGGAGATTTCGTTGTGCCGAAATCAATTACTTTTTGTGTTGTTATTGTTCAATTTGGAAGTTTTTTTATCCTTAAAAATCCCTGGGAAAACGAAGACACGCCGGGAGCAGGGGGGAAATCCAGCTAGACCCCAATGTCCCCAGCAGGGGTGCAGGCAAACAACCAGCCCACCACCCACCCTGAGCCCTGCGGCCCCACCAGCTCCTCCAAACCTCTCGGATGGAAGTTTCCCCCTCCGCTGGCTGGAGGGTGCGGGACTGGGGGGCCGCGGTGCGCGGCACTCACCCGGATACCCCACGGAGGGATGCAGCAGGTCCATGGCCGGGCCCGTCAGCCCCAGCCCGTTCATGCCGTAAGGGGGCTGTTTGAGGTAAGACATCATGCTAGAAGCCGGGCAGTTTTCCTCCAAAGTCCAGCAGGAAAAAAAAAAAATATCAAAAATCAAAGCGAATGTATGCGGCGGGGAAGGGGGAAATGAAAAGGAAAAAAAAAAAAAAAACCACTGACAAAAAGAGCCCCCGAAAAAATCTCCAAATAAGAGGCCAAAAAAAAAAAAATTAAAAAAATTAAAGCCAACGACAATTTAAAAACGGAGCACAAAGTCGGCGTGAAAGGAGTTTTTTTCGTTCAGTCCTGCCGTCACCGCCACGAGGTCCTCGAGAGATAGCAGGTGAAGTGAGAGAAAAATAAAAACGAAGGGGAAAAATAAAATCAAAATAACAACGAGGATCGAGAAGCAGGCGGATTTCTTCCCCGCGCAGAGGCGAGGCCGGAGCGCCTGGGGAGAGAGCGGAGAGAAGCGGGTGAGGCTTCGGCCGCCCGGGGCTCCCGCGGGGCTGCGCCCGCCGGGCGCGGGGGCTCCGCGCGGGCGCCTTCCGATTGTTAATTTTATTATTATTTTATTTTAAACGAAGGCGAGTCGCGCGCAAGTGCCGAGAGGCAACAGTGCCCGGCGATCGGGACAGATAAAGCAATTATTTAAAAAGATAATTGGATTAGGAATCAAAAGGAGGTATCAGAGGAGGGAAGTATAATTAATTTAAAAGCGAGCAGACGGGGACGTTTTAATTAGAAATGGATAAGAGTTAAAAAGGGGAAAAGGAAAAAAGAGCGCGGCGACAGCCGAGCGGCGACAGCGCGGGCAGCCGGGACGGGCCCGCCCGGGGCTCCGGCAGGGCCGGCACGGGAGAGGCGGCACCGGAGAGGCGGCACGGGAGAGCCCGGCACGGGAGAGCCCGGCACGGGAGAGCCCGGCACGGGAGAGCCCGGCACGGGAGAGCCCGGCACGGGAGAGCCCGGCACGGGGGCAAAGTGCCGCAGATACACGCGGAGGGGAGGAAGGAGCGGAGAGACCCCGGGCGGCCCCGTCGAGCCCCGGGGGCAGCCCCCGCTCTCTGAGCCTACTCCCCCCAGCCGGGGCAATGGGGCACCGGGGCCGCGGGGCGGGGGATGCCGGGCGGGGGTCGCGGTGCCCCCCGTAGGCCGGCGCCGGGCGCAGGTCGGGTGGCAGAGCCGGGACCCGGCGTTGCATAACTTTGTCGGGGACGCGGCGGAGCGGGCCCGTCCCGGCAGGAGAGAACGGGGAAGAGGAGGAGAATAAAAGTGAAGAGAAGAGAGGGAAGGGGAAAAAAAAAAAAAAATCCCGAGGCAGCCCCGGCCCGGCCGCCCTCACCACCCCTGCCCACGGCGCCGCGGGCCCGCTACGCTCCGTCCCGGCGCCGCCGCCGCCCGCCCCGTCGGTGAGCGCGGTGCCCACCGCCCCCGCCCGCCTCACCTGCGCGGCCACCTGCGGAGCGACTGAGCGCCCGCCCGGCGGGGGCTGCGCGGGGCAGCGCGGGGCGGAGCGGGCGGGGGGCGCGGAGGGGGCGCGGCGGGGGGAGGGAGCGAGGGGGGCAGGCAGGTGAGAGGCGGGCTGGGGAGGGGGCCGGGGGGCGCTGCCCGAGGCCGAGCCGCGCACCCCCGACTTGTCGGGGTACCCCGCGTTACCTTGCCGGCGGCCCGCGCTGTCGGGGCGATGGAGCCGCGGCCCTGATGAGGATTGATCACCTACCCCCGGCCCTACCCTTGTATGTGCGCGCAAAGCAACTGCGTAACCAGCCCGGCGCCAATCCCCGGCCGCTCCCCGCCTGACTGACAGCCGCCCGGGCAATGGCAGCGCGGGGCGACGGCTGCTCCGCACCGCCCCGCGCCGCTCCGCGCTGCCCCGCGCACCGACCCCGGCGCCGCGGAGAGCCGGCCGGCGGAGCGAGGGGTGCGGGGGGCGGGCACGCGGGGCCCCGCGCAGCCTCCGCGGAGAGGGAGGCTGGTGGGAATTGTTGGAGAAGTGCGGAAGAGGGAGGGCCGCTCCGCGCCCGCGCAGCTCTGCCCCCTCCCTCGGGATGCCCCTCGGGATGCCCCTCGGGATGCCCCCCGCGCCGCTCCGCGTCCCTGCCGCCCGGGGACACCGCAGAAAAAGTTTCGGCCGCCGCCTTCGCCGGCACGGAGGGCGCTCCTGGGGAGGGGAGGCGGTGTGGCGGCCCCCCCATCCCGGTGCCCGCGGGCTCTCGCAAACTTTGTGCTTTAAAATCGCAATAAAACTACACCGGCCGCACCTTTCCTCGCGTGTCCCGAATTTAGGGGCTGCTAGGCGCCGCGGGGGCCGAGCGGGCGGGAGCGGCGGGGAGAGGGGCGAGGTGACCCCGGGCCCTCCGCGCCGCTCCGCGGGGCCCCGCTCCTCGCTCCAGGCGGCGGGGTCGGGCCGCGGCGGGCGGCGGAGCGGCCCCGGACCTCTAAAGAGGCTCCGGTGCGCGGCTTTTGTTGGTCTCCCCAAATCAACTCCCTCTAATTGCAGTGGAGCTGAAAGCGAGCTAATGTTCAAAGGCGCTGCCCGCCGGCCCCGATCCGAGCGCGGTGTCCCGGGGGAAAGGCTTTCCCCCCATTTTATTTTGTTGTTGTTGGAGTTTTTTTCCCCTTCTTTTCAAATCTTTTTCCGTGCGAGGAGAGAACCGTCTAAGCCGGGCGAGAGGGAGCCGATGGAGTAGGTTAGCAAGCTCCTTCTCTCTCCCTCAAAAGTCAGCGACACGGGCACTTCTCCCCGTAACAAAGGCGCCGCGGCCCATTCACAAAAAAAAGCAAAGGCAGGAGGAGGGAGCAGGAAGAGTTTGCGGGGGCAGTTCTCCCTCCTTCCAGCCCCTCTCCCCCGTTTTGCCCCGGTCCTGCCGGGGCAGTTCCTGGCTCGGGCTGCGCTCCCCCCGCCCCCCGCCGCCTCCCCATCACTTGGCCCCGCCGGGGCAGCCCCGGTCCAGGCGGGCAGCCCCCCCCGAGGCTTCCCCCCACACACACACCAGGGGGTACCCATGCCTCCCCAAGCCTCCCGCAGCTCCCGCGTTACCCAATCCCCAATTGCGGACGCCTCCCCGCAGGCTCGGCCGGGGGCTGCGGGCAGGGCGGGCGCGGGGCTCGCCACCCCCCCGAGGTGACGGTCCCGGCGACTCCGATCCCCCGTTCCCTCCGCCGGACGGAGCCGGCGCCCTCCCCGCTGCGCCCAGGTAAGGTCGGCGGCGGGGCGGGAGCTGCGGGTGGGCAGGGGCCGGGCTGCGCGACCCCGGCCCGGCGGAGGGCAGGGTTCGGTCCGGCGGCGGGGCGGGGGCTTCCTGTGGCCCGCTTGCCGGGCTGGGGGCGAAAGACAGGGGAGACACGCACTTATTTTGCCCTCAGCCCACCGCTTGAGTTACTTTTTTCGCTTTAAAAGCTAGGCAAACGCCGGCCTCCCCAGGAGGAGAGGATGCCCGCGCCCCAGGGGCAGCCCCACGCTCCGGGGCTCAGCAGCTCCCGGCCGGGCAGGCAGCACCGGGGCTTTGCCGCCTCTCCCCTCCCGACCCTCCGCAGCCGCGGAGCCCTCGGAGCGCGTTCCCTGCCGTCCCCAGCTCCTGTATTTCTACGGGAGGGCAGAAGAGCGCGGCGGAGCCCGCTGCCCCAGCCCCAGCCCGGCGCCGGGGTGCTCCGCACATCTCCCCAAACTTCTCATGGGGCCAAATCCACCTGCGGGCCCCGCGGCAGCCCCCAGTTCCCCAGGCCGGTACATCCCGCGGCACCGGCGGCCGCTCGCACGAAACCGGGCGCTTCCCTCCTCCACGGGGCACTTCTTTTGGCGAGAGCGGCAGGGCCGCAGTCGCTGGCGGAGCCGCCGCGGTCCCCGGCGGAGCGGCAGCCGCGGCCCCGCGGGGCTCGGGCTCCTCCCGCCCGCTCCGCTCCCCGCGGGTGCGCTTTGGGCCGCGCATTCCTCACGCCGCCGGCGGGCGGCATCGGCCCGGCGGAGAAAAGTTTTACCTCCCCCTCCCCGAGTTTCATTTTATTAAAATCAAACGAAAAACTTTTCCGTGCGGTGGGTTTCGTTGCGTTGGCGAAGCGGCGGCGCCGCTGCTCCCCCCGCGGGGCTCGGGCCCTGCCCGCCCCCCGAGCCCCCTCCCCGGCCCACCGAAGGCGGGAGGGGTGAAGGGAGTTTCCCAGGTAAAGAGGAAAGCGGCAGTTACGGTAAGAAAGATTCGGGTTTTATTGAAAATTTTATATATGACTCGGTGTTGTAATAAATAAACGAGACGAGCTCCACGAAGGGACGATGCGAGCGCGGGACACGCTTGGGGGCACACGGACGGGGCGGGGTGCGGTGGGGAGCGCGGCCGGGCGCAATAAATAACGCGGAGCGGGCGGTCCGGTCCGGTCCGGTCCGGCCCGCGGGAGGACGCGGCTGGGAAGGGTCGCGCTGTCCTGGGCCGGGCCGGTCTCTGCCCCGGGCTGCCCCACTCCGCTCGCAGCCGCTCCCGGGGTTTTTGGGCCAGCTCTGGGGGAGAAGCCCCCCGAGTAAACCAGAGCAGCTCGGCTCTACTCCCGGGGAAATGTAAAACTGATGTAATAAACCACTGGTAAATACAGCACATTTTTAATAACTGGGGTGGATCTGACCTAACTATAAAATGTAGGTAGCTTATTAAGTATTACATATGGCAGGACTAGATGAAACCATTCCCAATGATTTTTTTTTTCTATATCCCCCTCTCTAATCCTATTACGACAAAAACATTTTTATTTCAAAACTCAGCCCTCCTCCAGCTCCAGAAACCAGGACAGACTATTTCTTCTCCTCCTTCCGCCCATCTCCGGCATCGCCCGCACGCCAGGGGTCTCGGCGATTCCATTTCCAACGCTTTCGGCAGGAGAGCTGAGCCCACAAGGAAATCATGGGACAACGCGAGTTCGCTTGAATGGAAAACAAAAAAAAAACCAACGGAGTGGGGCCCGGCGCAGCTAGATCTGGCCTAAGAAAATGGAAAAAAAGTTTAATTTTTTTTTCAAAACATTTTTTTTTCCCAGTCTCATATCGGCATTTTAAGAACGTAAGAAAGCCGAGCTGCGATTTCGCTGCCGCTGCGGGAAGGCCGCTCACTGGAGAACGCATTTCTCTTCCTTCTTGGCCATCTTGCCTTTGTTTTGCTCGAGGGTCCTCTCCAAATGCTCGTCCTCTTCCTCGGCCCTGCGGAAAGAGGCGGAGGGAGGCGCGGTGAGGGGCTGCGCGGGACGCAGATCCCCGCGGCCACGGCGCCCGCGGACTTGGACCAAACTTTCCGTGGGGACCGTGGCGGCTCGGCGGGGACCCCCTCCCCCTTTGCCCGACTCACTGCTTCTCCTGGGCGTCCAGGTCCCTGACCAGCGCGTCCCGTTTGTTAACGAGAATAACGAGTTCGTCCAGCAAGAGCTGCTCTCGCCTCTTCTGCGCCTCGGTCTTCTGCCAGTCTGCGGGAGAAGCACAACGAGAGCAGCGGTGAGAGAGAGCGGCGGCCGCCAGCGCCCGGCGCAGCCAGCCCGGCCGGAACGGCCCGGAACGGCCCGGCACGGCCCAGCGCAGCCCGGCACAGCCCGGCCCAGCCCGGCAGAGCCCGACTCAGCCCGGCACAGCCCGGCCCGGCCCGGTCCGGCTGAGCCCAACTCAGCCCGGCACAGCCCGGCCCGGCACAGCCCGGCCCGGCCCCGGCCTCTTTCCCCACCGCGGGGACAAGGGCAGCCCGGCGGCGTTTCGCCCTCCTTGGCTTGGGGCAGCTGAGCAGCGATTTTGGGGTCATTAGGATGGGGGTTTCTTTCCTTTCCTTTTTATTTCTTTTTAGTGTCAAATTGGTTGTGCTTTCCCCGCGCCTGTGGCCGCGGGCGGGCACGGCCACTGCCGGGGTTGCCTCCCGGAGGAATGCCCGTTCCCTCAGCAATGCCCGTTCCCTCAGCAATGCCCACTTCCCTCAGCAATGCCCGTTCCCTCAGCAGTGCCCGTTCCCTCAGCAGTGCCCACTTCCCTCAGCAATGCCCGTTCCCTCAGCAATGCCCGTTCCCTCAGCAGTGCCCATTCCCTCAGCAATGCCCGTTCCCTCAGCAGTGCCCGTTCCCTCAGTAATGCCCGTTCCCGCAGCAGTGCCCGTTCCCTCAGCAGTGCCCGTTCCCTCAGCAGTGCCCGTTCCCTCAGCAGTGCCCGTTCCCTCAGCAATGCCCACTTCCCTCAGCAGTGCCCACTTCCCTCAGCCATGCCCGTTCCCTCAGCCATGCCCGTTCCCTCAGCAATGCCCGTTCCCTCAGCAGTGCCCGTTCCCTCAGCAGTGCCCGTTCTCTCAGCAATGCCCGTTCCTGCAGCAATGCCCGTTCCCTCAGCAATGCCCGTTCCCTCAGCAGTGCCCGTTCCCTCAGCAATGCCCGTTCCCTCAGCAATGCCCGTTCCCGCAGCCCGGCCCCTCTCTGCGCGCCCCTCGCCCGCTCTCAGCGGCTGGAGGAATCTCACACGGCGCACCATATGCTCCGCAGGAACTTTAAAGGCAGGTATCGCTTAATTAGCGTCGCCCACTTTGAAGTAAAAATACACTCGCTACAGAATATCGCAGGGCTATTCCCAAAGGGACTCCCCGGCCCGGCCCGGCCCGGCCCGGCACAGCCCCGGGGCCGCCCGCAGCCTCGGGCTCTGCAGCTAGGCCGTGAGGGCTTGTCGCTGTCAGTCAAGGCCCGGCCTTCCCCGCCTCCCTCATTAAGAAGGTAAACAATGAAAAGCAGGAGCAGTAGATGATGAGGGAGATAGCAGGACAATTGAGGAGCGGGAGGGAAAGAGGACACCGGCTCCAAGAAACACCACCCGGCCCCCGGGAGAAGCCACCGCCAGCGGCCCGGCCGTGTCCTCCTCCCGGCCGCGCTCCCCGAAGGCCGAGGGGAGACAGGGCGCAGTCCTTTCGGCTTTCTCCCCCACCACCCGCGCTCTCCATTGCCCTGGGCGATCATGGTAAAACTCACATGGCTGGTGCTTATTCAGATAAGCCGAACAATGCTCCCCACCGGTTACCATGTGAATCTTCACAAACCCCGCAAGAATGCGGTGGTTCAAATCCCCCTGACCCCCCTCCAAAGCCAAATTTATTCAAGACAGCAAACTGCTCAGAAGCTTTATGAAAGCAAGTGGTGCTAGAGGGAATTCAGCCTTGTATTTACAAATTAAAAATTAGATGCATCATCATGCAATGAAGGTTTGGGAGAGCGGCAGAAAGGCAGGAATGTGTAACCGCGTTTATCGCGCCCTCCTCGCCGTCTGCCCGGGCCCACGGGCGAGCCCCAGGCAGAGCCCACGCGTGGGCAGCCGCTGCGAGCACCGGGCACCGCGGCCGCGTCCCGCTGCCACCGGAGCCCTTCCCGAGCACCGGCCCGGCAGGGCACTGCCCGAACTTCCCGGGAGTTTTTGTTTTTCTCATTTCTCTCTTTCCTTTCCCGGTTCTCCTCATTTTCCTTTCTAATTTTCTTTTTTTTTTTTAACGTGTCCTTTCCCCTCCACCGTTAAGGAAATAATTTTTTTCAGGTGTACACAGATTAGAAGTGGAGTTAGCAGCTAAAATTACCGGTAATCCAAGCCATTTTTTCCTGCTGCAAAGCTGCTTTAATTCGAGGTGCTACATCTTGGAGCAGTCTCTCGATTTTTCACTGCTGCTTCCCCTTATGCTTCTTTTGGGCAAAGCTCCTTCACTTGAACCCATTTAAAACACACTCCTCTGCCGCTCTGCGAGTCAGAACTTCCCAAACTGCAGCGTTTTGCCCCACAAATAAAGCCCCTCACACGCAATGAGATCTCAGCATGACAACACTGAAAAGGCCCTGAAAAGGGCCACGGCAGCAAGCCAGACAGAAAAGGAGAGAGAGAGACATGGCACAGGGTTTCAGGGGTGTTTGCTTCCCCCCAGACGTGGCTCCCAACTTTCAGGTTAACTTTCCCCCGCCTCCAGCTGGGAATTGTGCTGGGACTGACTCAGGCTCCCCCGGCACATCTGGGCACATGGATAAAAGGGATTTGAAATCCATCGTCTCTACCTGGACTTTATAGAACTTTCTGCAATTTTGATGGCTTTCACTTTTTATTTTTAAATCTCTTTTTGTTTTATTTGTTTGTTCATCCCCCGTTCTCCAGTTGCAGCTGCAACTTTAGTTTTTGGAAGAGCAAACAGGTCAGAGTATTTCAGTATATGTTTTGCTCAGTCCCTCACTATTTTTCTCAGTTAAGTCCCTTCCTAAGTGTTACAGGTTTTGTTGTTTCATCTTACAGGCCTGTGAAGTAAATAATGTCCTATTAGGATTTCATGGAACAGAACTGCGTATTTGTTAGGGTTATTTTGTTTGTTTGTTTTGTTTTCTGCATTTGCTTATTATAAATGTTTGAAATATGGCTTGGGAAAACCTGCTGGCAGAACTATTCCCTTGCCATTTTACTTCAGTTTCTAGTAAAGGAGTTTGCCTTTCCTCCCCCGAAAATAAATAAAGAGTCAAGCAGCAGTTGGTTAAAAGGGTAACTGACTCTAAGTATTTAAATAACATTTTATAGGTGGCTACCTTACAATTTTGTTTTATCCGACAAAATACTCCTGGGCAGCAGTTTTGGGAAGCATCCCCATGTTTAAAAAAGCAACTGTGCTCAAGTTTGATTCCTACCTGTTGTGCCTTTTAAGCCAGGATTACCTATAACACCTGTCACATATAGTTACCCAGGCTGACTGCAGCTCTGGGAAGCTACAATATGGGCTGTGATTAATTTGAAGATTTCAGAATAATACTGTTATAAAAGCTACACTCTGGACAAAAATAGGATTAAGCTCTGAGGCTGTATATGAGCTAAAAGTGTTGAAAGCTAAAGCCCCCGTGCCACCACTCACGACGGGCAGTTTAAAATGACAGAGTTTGCTAAATTCACATTGTAGTAGAAATGTTTTCAATTATTCAT